ATATATCAATAATTTAAAAACCCATTTAATAAATGGGCAAATGATTTGAAAGAGATACCCTAAAGGAACGCATGCAAATAGCTAATAAGCACATGCAAATGTGCTAAACTTGCTGCACCCCTTTAGCTGTATAGTCAGCAGCTGTGTAGGACTCGCTTACCTGCTATCCTATCCTCCCTCACTGCACTGCCTGGCCTTTGCCCCTTTAGTGACTAAAGCACTTATCAGGCATTTTTATTGATCTCCCTCCTTGTTGGTCCTGGCAACCTCTGGGCAGAGCCTGTGCTTCAGAAGTTCAAGCACCAGCTGTGAGGCACCTCCAACCCTCTCTATCCAAGCCAATCCTATAGAACGTCTCCTCTGAGATTCTAGAATCTGGTTATGCTCCCTATTGCTATTTGTTTGCCAGTCCTGGGAGTGGTAGCTATCTTCTACAGTTCATTAGTCTTTCTATTTTCTCAGTGTCATCCTTTTGCTCTTTCCCCCTGGCAATATCTACATAACTAATTCTCTGTTTTAATATCCTCTTTAGGAAATATATAGCATCCTATTTGTTTTTTTGGCTGGACCTATTTTGATACAGGGAACACATTTTATGTGATTTTGAAAGACTGTCTTGCCCATGTTACATCATACAGTCTTGTCCAATTAGCACATGCAAAACCTTGACGACAGGGAATAGTCTTTTAACTATGTAGTCTTTTCTGCCAAAATTGTCTTTAAAAAGCCTCCCTTCCCAGGTTATAATTAAATCTAGGGATTCTGGCTATTCCATTTTCACTACACAGGAGAGACCATTTGAAACTAAAAGCCAGTAGAACCAAGCAGGAAAAAAGTGGGAAGAGAGATACACCCTCATGATATGGTTGATTCTACCTTGTCTAGCCATACAAGAAGCCATTTACATTCTTGACCAATCAGTTTTACACACCTTTGTGGTGTTGGCTGATTTATCAAACTAAGTTTGACTTGGACTCCTGTCAAACTGAAAGAGCCCTGAATGTACCTTGTAAAAAATTGTGTGATAATCTATATTGTGCAACACAGTTCTTCATAGTGTAGTAGTTAAAGAAAGCAACTTTGCATAACAATCAATTATTCTTCCTAGATTTGGATTTCTAAAATGTGAGACAGGAATGCCTGGTTTAGAGGGTGATTATACAGGTGAGATGAGGAAAGGTATATAAAGAATTTAGCACTGTAATTGAGAAATAATAACTAACGGTGGTACATTCTCAGTTTCCTTGGTTATCTCTCTAATTAGATTGAGCAAGGTCTAGGGGTAAGGTCTATATCTCATTCTGTTTGTGTTCACAGTCAATTGAAACCTAAATGTTAAAAAAATTCATTGCATGAAATAAATCAGTAAAAATTATAAGATAAAGAAAGAGTATTTGTAGGGTTTTATGCCTCATTCACCATCTATTCAGAGTATGATAGATCCACTCAAGACTTAAAATCTTATCTGTCAGTCTCCAGGCTTCTGTGGGCCTGGTGTGTTCCTAGCTGTTGTCCTAGAAATGCAACCTGAAGATTCTGGCTAAAAGTGACAGACGTAATATAAACATTTTGTCTCTTTTGCGTGAAAGTCACTAACATGACAGAAAAGGGATTAAAAATGGCATTAACTCACAGGGACAAATAAAACAAAACAGTAGAATCACAACTCCAATATTTGGGAGTCAGAATGCAGATAAAGGAACAGTATCTGATTTGGCATTCTCACAACATCTGACACTAGGATAGAACTGGAGAAACCAAGAAAACACCTAGTTTACACCTTGAAATCTCTCATATGCTCAGAATTTTGTGGCATTAGGTATCTTTGAAAGAAGTAAAGGTGGGGACAGTACAAATGGAATGCTTAAACATCTTTTCAAGAGCTAATTAGATCTCCAGATCCCCTCTATCTCTGTGTGAAGCTACATGACTGCCTCCATTTACACCCAGTAATAGACTAGAGGATCATTCACTAAAGAAAGTAAAGCAGAGTCTCTAAATCAGGAGACCATATGCATATTTGAGGGAGAGTTCACCATATGACAGCTGGGCAATAAAGTAGAAGTTTCACCTCATAGATGTTAACACCGTTGGCCTTCTTTCTTCACTCATCTCAGAGAATGTTGAAATCCAGGATTATATTCTTCAGAAAGATTGAAAGACTCTTCTATGTGTAATCATATCAGTCCATGACAAGAGACCTAAGGATATTACCACTAAGAGTTCCCCCATTGAAATGGGACAGTATACAGTGTAGCAACATTTGATAAGCACTAAGTGCCCACATGTAGGTGCTAGTCAGCTTTTAGAACCCAACTCCCAAATAATAGGCATGAGCAAATATGCTGTGACACTCAATGAGATCTTCTAATATAAAATATACTACTTGACAATAAGAAACAATTTGAAGGAAAGAAAAAATTCAAAAGACAGAAAACTCCAAGAAAACATCGTAAGAGGATAAAACATACTCATGAACATTGGAAATTATACCAAAAAGAAAAAAAAGAAAGAAACAGAATAAAAAGTTGAGGT